GGGAAGGAAGTAAAGTAGAGCGAAATTAAAGATACCTCTCCCGATTTTTGCATTTCGTTATTTTAAATCCTTGTTTATCCAATTAACATTTCTAGGCAAATACCGTATTTTTTCCGAGATGTTATTTATTCTGTATAATCTTCTTGTTACACTTCGCTACGTATTTAGCTTCTACGACAATAACATTCCAACATTTGCAGGAATTACTTTTGAGCTAATGGCTCGATCTGCTTACTTCGATGAACTCTGTGATAAACATGGTAATTTACAGAAATGTACTGAAATCCCGAGAATTACGTTCTACTTATCTATAACAATTCCTTGCTCCAGAAATAATTTAGATAAACTCGATCCAATTAATTTTTAAGCTACGTTAATGTACGAGCGAAAATCGATAGGGCTTTAATTTTTCTTTGTTTTATTTGCAGCTTCTACATCAAGCACCAGTAGCTTTTTATTTTTTACATCCGGAGCAAGTATCTCGCTACGCCCCATTTCCGTTCTGATGCAGAAATGTTTGTCCTCGGATTAGGTGAAATTGACAATTAATTTATACCCGAAGGCTAAAAACACGATTCAGTGATTTTTTGCCAAACCGATTATATTCACTCACAACATTTTCGCTGCCCCAGTTTACGAATTTGTTCTCTTCTAAATTTTAGTAATCAAACAGAAATACACAACAAAATTAAACATGGCGATAGACACAGATAGGGACTCAATAGTTGGAAGATGCAGCTAAGTAGTCACAGGGACGTTCTTGCGTATACGGTAAAATTAGATGTTTTTTTCGTGAAGCGGTACCTAGATGTTATAAAGAGGTAGCCTCCCTTGCACTGACAACGCTGTATGAAGTGTGTGGTTCGTCGTTTATCGCGTTCCCATTGTCCACACCAAATAACTTGGATATTTTTCTTGAGATCGCTCGAATTGTTCTGTCGATTTGTTGATTTGGCAAACGGGGTGTACTTACTGTTCAAAAAAGGCATCGGTGGCCTTAAATTTATTTTTGTTCTGGCAGGTTTTGTTTTTGTATTAGCTTTTTTTCGCATAATGCTAGAATAAATTCTTGTAATTTCTTCTTTATTAATCTATTATGTGTCAATTTGAATCCCAATTTGAGATCCAAGAAAAGTTTTATTTTTCTGTGTCAGATTCTTCTAGTTTCTTTTTATCTAAATGTTAATTACAATTCAAAATTTGAGTAGCGATTTGATTGGAATTTACCGAATTTAATAGAAGCCTTCGTAATTTTCAGTTTGTTGGGATTTTTTTGTTTGTGTCAAGACCCAGTCGTCCCCGGAGAGGTTGTAGTTTGAGCTAGCTAGGTAAGGTGTTTGTTTGAATTACATTTTTATAGAAACATATTGGAACAGGTTAATAACCTACCACTTGGAATGTTTAATTTAAAATTCAATTAATTATGTTAAACCTCTCGCCAGGTCTGAGCCCGGTCTACAATCTATGTTTTTCTAAAGCTGTGGGCGACTTCCGAGATAGTATCGTGTCAATATAGAACGAAAAGACTTTTCGGGTTTGAGATATAACCCCGACCGGATTTGATCTCGTGTAAGATTTCCTTAGGTGAGCATTAGGATCTACAATCGTACCGCTACATTTGGTCCTTCGAGCCGAATGCTACATTTCGTTCTTCGAGATTTTCAACGAATGGGTGCCGCGTTACCATAAGGGTTTCGGTCCCGATAAGTGTCACATTTTATCCTTCTAACCTTCAACGAATTAGTGCCGCGTTATCACAAGCACAAGAGTTCCGGGCCCAGTGAAGTGCTAAATTTTGAAGTGTCCACATGTGAAGTGTCCACAATATTGAGATAGAAAAGTGACCACGGAGCGGTTCGAGCTCGCAACGGTCACACAATGCCACTCACAAATCATGGACCTGGAACAAAAGCCATGGCCATGGATTACTACGTTCTACAAGAAGCCACCCCGTCACCGGCAGCTCCGGAGAGTCCGAATGAGACAATATCCAAAATGGAGGCAAACCAAGGGGCAACGATTTTAATTTCCAATGGGGCAGCGATGGGCGCAAATGCACGCCCAATCGCCACGATACTTGGAAGGCGAGGTTGCCAAGAAACACCTTCGCTACCCAGCCTGGATCACACGCTTCCAGACTTCCGTAGACAGCAAATAACATTTGATCGGCTTATGAAACTAAGAGGAACGTTTCGGGACGACATCCAACGACAAGACCAGATTAGGGTATACAGCGAAGTACCTGGTAATTATAGAGGCCCATCACAAAACTGCAAAGTACGCAGTTCACCAAATCATGATAGCGGTGCTGACAAAATGCTGGGAATATGAAGAAGTCCAAAACCCAAGACGCAGCTCCATCGCAAGAAGATGACTAATGCAAGGAACGGTATCAGCAATTGCAGCTCGGTGGAGCAGTACTGGCGCACAAGCTGTTAACAGGAACCTAACAAGCTCTCAACCTTTAGACATTCATTCTCTTCCTGGATGCAGTGGGGTACTGAGAGTAGGGAGCAGATAAACAAATGCAGCCTCCATGTCCACATAAAAAAGCACCCCGTAATAATTCCTCCAAAAAGGCATTTGACCACACTAATCGTAAAGGATGCTCCATACCGAATTAAAAAAATTAGGTGTAGTAAACCCCCAAGTTTGCCGTGGTACTTACTAAAAAACCACGATCCGAATCTGATTTTGGTGCAAATAAAACAGTAGCAAATTAAAAAAAACTTTGTTAGTAGGTGTACAAATGTGCAAAAAACAGAAATTATCACGCTCACAGGACGACATTCATTACTGTTGTAGCGATTTGTCCCTATATCTGCACTGTAAAAATATTTGAAGTTATTTTCCTGTGCAATCGAAGGCATTCGGTTGCATAATTCAGATTCAGTGAAATCAAAGCGCGCCGTTATGCAATATACTCATAGCTGACATATTTGATGCGATAGAATTCGAACCATTTGGATGAAAAACTTGCCAACCTACGGATTAATTTTTTTATCGCCGTGGACTTACGTTTTGGCAGCAGCCTTAAAATAAATGCAAAACTCAATTTGAACTTTTTCATTTAAAATCAAATATGATTTAATTAAACACTGCGAATAAACACAGAATATTAATTTAGAGCTTAATTAAATGGAACTCCGGATTCAGCACTACCTTGTTTAATTGCATCATAAATTATATTATTTGATGAGGTACATTTTCTGTAAATTCGATATATTGTATGTAAACAAGACGAATGTTAAACATTACTAAAATTGTGTACCTACACTAAATTAGGGTAATGCAAAAATATGCCGCACTTCAAAGCGGGGCGATCTCTGAAATGTGCATACATGTGTCTATATGGAAATGATCAATTCTTGCACTCCATCGCACAAAGTTGTAATGGAACGGAGCTTTGTGACTCGGAAAGTAAATCGTGGGTTGGAGATACTGGCGCTATAATAATTCAGGGTCTATTCTCAAAACGGTCGTTATCATAATTATTATTACCGCAATGACTATAGACATAGTAAGATAAGGAAGGACAATTGGGATAATGCAAATAAATTTCCAATTTTGTTGCAATGAATGTCGAGCCCTGGATGTATTTCGCCACAGAATGTTATTATTCGAGCAAATATACTCCAAATAATGAAACATTGATTTTAAAGCGAATATTGTACTTCCATTACTGCAGATTACTTCCACACTTACTTTCTGTCGTACAATGGGGGTGGTAATTATTCAACACTTACCATTCAAAAACGATAAGAGCTACCAAAATAGACGGTTTCACTAAGTGTTCATTAATTACAAATGCAGAGTGCAGAGAACGGATATCAAACCGCTTTAGTTCATATTTTCATGAAATTACTTACTTAGCATGAGGCTAAAACTCAAACACATTCAATTATACGAAATGCTAAAATGCTTTTAATCACGAATTCAGTACGCCTGGTCCACAATTACCAAGTGTTAGGAAATTCACAAAGCTGGGAGATACATAATGGGTTTCGAAATGGAAGTGGACACGTAGAGTCCCCAGCAATAATGTGCACAACGGTCGCCAACTTGATCGATATACAGCGACACACCTTTGTTTTTTTATTTTCTGTTTTGTTATTTCAATCCCGTCGTCTAATTACTGCGATTTGTTTGTTATACAATTTTCTTTTATGTACGCGTATACTCGTTTCGCGCCGGAATGAACAAAATAATTTAGAATTTCGGCGAGCATAATAGAGAATGGACCATAGCGCCTTTTTGTACATAAGTCCTGATTAAGCTGGATTGTATCCTTCAGATATCGCTTTTATAGGTTGCCAATTTTGCCGATTACGATATAATTGGGTCAATATAGGACATAATGCTTTGTTCCCCAAATTTCTAGAAAAATTTCATTAAAGTTCAACCCACACGCTGAAATACAAATAAAACAGCGTCGATTCTCACGACAAATACTACACTGTGGTTCCTCATCCGAAAATTTAAATTAATATTAGGGTGTGCCTTAGTTTTGGTCGGGCATCTACCCAAAAACTTAGTCTATTGATAAACTGATAATGATACGCCAATAAAAACAAAATACTAACGTATTTGCGACCTTGTAAAAAATTTGCTGTGGCTGCGCATGCGTAATTCTGACCAAAACCTTTTCATCTATGCCTATGCTATGTGTACCAAATTGGGTTGCAATTGGTTCAGCCGGTTAGCTGGAAATGAGAGTACAGACAGACCGACATCATCGAGATTTTGTTTGATTGAGATTCATGTTGCTTCAAGACGTGTATTTCCCTAAAAAATGGAGGGAGGGGATGCTATTGCCTTTTGGTATTTTTGGATCCAAACCCATTGATTTATTTTATGAATCAATTGACATAGAGGGTAGGTTATGGAAGACAGGCTATATGTATTAACCTCCCATAACTGCTAACGATTCCTAAGAAACGTTGTATGTGTACTCCAGTGCATTTTTATACATTATAAAATCGTTATTATATAACTGTGCTATGCCTCTTTTCAAAAATTGCGTTACTTGTGACAAAGGAATCAATTTTGATAAAGATGAACTATGTATCTGCGATAGATGTTGTCTAGTATACCATTCTCAATGCTCTGGATTATCGCGAGAAGATATCAAGCTGTTAGCAAGCGGTGCAAAGCAAAGACCGGCTTTTCACTGTAATAAGTGTATCTCTGAAAGATCACAGATATCGGAACTACTTCAAACAATATCTGATCTTCAAGCGGAATTGCGCCAATTAAAGCAGGAGAAAGAAGACAAAACATATTTTATTGAAGACGTTGTTAATGAAATCAACGATCGGAGACGCAGGGAAAAGAATATCATCATCTACAAACTTGAAGAATCTACAAATGACGGTTCAAGGGTTAAGGAAATAATCAAGAAAGTTGCTCCTAGCATTTGTGTTGACGATATCGGTATCACTAGATTGGGTAAATCCGGGCCAAACAGACCGGCCCCTATAAAAGTTGTTTTGCATAGCAAAGATGATGTGGTGGCCGTGTTAAGAAACAAAAGAAATTTAAAAACCATGGATATTGATGTCGTAATTACTACAGATAACACAAAACTTCAACAAGAATATTTTATGAAAGTACGTGCTGAACTTGAGCAGAGGAAAACGAATGGAGAGCGAAATCTGTATATAAAATATGTTAACGGGACACCCACTATTGCTGTATCAAAAAACTTGAATTAAAAATTGCACATATAAATATTAGATCGATAAGGAAAAATTTTTTAAGCTTAAAGGATTACATATTAGCAAACGATGTGGATTTTGTTGGAATTTCCGAAACCTTTCTGGATGCTAGTTACACTGACAATTACGTAAGTTTAAATAATTATAATTTAATTAGATCTGACCGGTTAACTTTTGGTGGTGGAGTTGCCATTTACTTAAAAGCGTGTTTTAATTTCAAAAAAATAGAATTCGATGTGAAGTATACATCTATCGAACATTCATGGCTGATGGTTAATATCGATAAATTAAAAGTAGCGTTTGGAGTTGTTTACGTACCACCAAGTGCGAACATTGAATTTTTTAATGATCTTTCTGACATTATCGAGCAGGTGTACCTTAAATCACATTTAATTGTTTTAACGGGTGATCTAAATGTCAATCTTTTGTGCGAAGATTCCAGTGAGAGTAGACGCTTACTTACGTTGCTATCAAATTTCGAACTTATACAATTAATTAAGGAGCCGACGAGAATCACTCCAAAGTCAGCGACATTGTTGGATGTTATTTGCGTGAGCAATAGTTTAAACATCAATTCCTGCGGAACGTATGATTTACTTAACAATACTGACCATTTACTAACTTTTGGTAATATCCTCATTTCTTGCAAAGTAAAACCCCTGCATAGTTTTACTTGTAGGAATCTTAAGAATCTGAATATTAATTCTTTTACTTATGATGCTGAGCGCGTTAATTGGCAAGAAATAAATCAGTGTGAGAATATTAATACTAGAGTGCATATGCTAAATGAATGTATACTGGAACTGTTCGATATACATGCCCCTTTTGTCAAAATTAAACCGAGGAAGAAATATAATCCCTATATCACGGATACCATCAAAGAAATGATTCGACTGAGAGAGAAGGCACATAAGAATTTTTTTAAAAACCGAACAGAAGTAAGTCGAAGATATTACTGCGAGTTACGAAATTACGTCAAGTCAGCGATATCGCGGGAAAAAAAGCATATTTACAGTTCATATTGCATTCTAATAAAAGTAATGCGAATAGACAATGGTATCATCTACAAAAACTGGGTGTACGCACCAAAAGGAGCACTAGAGTCGAGCTGCCTGCCCAACTACAGAATCCTACGGCTATCAACGAGTATTTTTTAAATTTTGCTGAAAATTCGACAATTGACCCGAATGTGATACGGTTCTTCAACGGTACAATGAGGTGTGAAAACACTACGTTTACTTTTAATGAAATCACTGAACATGATATTTACACTGCTCTTAAAAATAGTTCATCGAAAGCTTACGGACCCGATCATATAAACTTAACAATGTTAGTATTGATAATCCCACATTGTTTAGATGTTGTTTTAAAACTGTTTAACGACTGCCTGCGTAATGGAATCTGTCCAGAAATTTGGAAGACGGCTGATATTATCCCCTTAGTAAAAGTTACCAATCCCTCGACTTACAACGACCTTCGCCCCATATCTTTATTATCTCCATTTGCAAAAGTATTCGAAAAAATTATTGCTTCTCAAATTACGAGGTATTTTGAAAATTCCCACATTACACCCGTTTACCAATCAGCGTACAGGAAAAAATACAGTAGCAACACAGCTCTTATGAAGGTTATAAATGACATATCTCACAGTTATGATAAATCCCTGTGCACCATCTTGATATTGCTAGATCAGAGTAAGGCCTTCGACTTAGTAAATCACGAGCTGCTCATCGCCAAACTGAAGCACCTAGGTTTTGATGACAATAGTGTAAGCTGGTTCACAGCATATCTTAATTGCCGATCTCAAAGAGTCAGAATCTCTCATAGGTCGTCAAGTTTCGCGAGAATCAAGAGAGGTGTTCCTCAAGGGAGTGTTTTGGGCCCCTTACTTTTTTCGGCATTCACCTTCGACTTACCTACAAGTCTTCATCAACTTCGATACCATCTGTATGCGGACGATTTACAACTTTACATAGAGTGTAGTACATCAAATATTGAAGAAACCATCGATGTTGTAAACTCTGATCTTCTTGGTGTACAGACGTGGTGCCAAAACAATGGTTTGCGATTGAACCCTGCCAAATCCACTGCTATTTGTGTGGGTCCTCGACTTCACTCGGAGTTGGTGTCTAGTTTTCAGTTACGTCTAATGAGCGAAAGCATACCATGGTCTACCACGGTAAAAACTTAGGCATTAAAGTAGATAGTAGGTTAAGTTTTACTGATCATGTTAATCACATAATTAGAATTGCATATTTAAAACTAAAGTCAATCTATCACCTTAAATCTCTGCTAAATGAGTCCAGCAAGCGTAAGCTAGTCAAATCTCTTATTTTACCCCATTTTGATTATTGTTGTATGGTGTATTATTTTTTTCTCACAAAACGTGACCAAGCAAGGCTGCAAAAACTCAAAATGCGTGCATGAGATACATTTGCAATATTCCCCTTAGAGAGCACGTCACGCCGTATTATCACAGACTTAATGAGTTAAAAATCAAGGATCGTGTCAAATATCTATATATGATAATGCTTTATAAAATTTTACAATTTAGAATACCGTCATATTTATATCACCTGTTGATAAGAAGATCGGCTGCTCATTGTGTAAATTTAAGAACTAATTCTTTTACAATACCTAGACATAAAACTGCAAAATTCCAGGGTTGCTTCACATATGTTGCACCATCTTTGTTAAATTTAAGGTTAGATGCATTGCACATGAACTATCCTCAGTTTGTTAGATCTACTAAGAGCTTTTTCTTAGAGAATTGTAATTAATTTAGCAAGACGACTGTTTTTTTTTTATCATTTTGTGTCTTACAGGATGAATTGAAAAACGGCTTTAGGCCGAATTCATTACCTTTTGAGCTGTACATGTACAACATTATTATTTTATTTACAACATTATTATTTTATTGTTTTGTTTGTATGTATGCTCAATAAACATTATTATTATTATTATTATTATTATTATAACGATGTACCTCATCAGGAGGCTTAGGTTCCTTCATGTTGAGGCTCAACCATCTTAGGGTATTTCAACATTTCGTTATAACTATCTAACACAGTACCCTAAATATTGAACTTGAATTTTGAACAAATTATGAAATATAAGCGCGATCCACAAAGAAACGCAGGCTGATCACAAAATCCTTTACCGGCGTGGAGGAATCCGCACGCCTGCCCATCAACTGTAGGAAGTGTGACTTGTACTTACACTTCGCTAATATATAACAAATTAAGTATATTGATGCGTATTGGTCCAAAAACACTTTCATATAGGAAACTGTTAAACTGTTAAGATACGAACCCTCTTGCCACAAAAAGACCGTATTCATAATGGATGGTATTGACAGTTTTTGTTCCGTTGCGGCAAGTATTATATTTTGAGGTGAATATTACATGAAAAAAGTTTTCTACAAAATAACGATTCTAGTTTGTAAGTTGGTGTGCTTGGGGGAGTTTCTGAAAATTGGGAAAACCATCGCCTACTTTAATGATCAACAGCACAGCGCCCTATGACAGGAAATGTAGGAACACTGAAACATAAAAGAGCAATTTAGCTTCCAGTACACTCCATTTAGCAACAAAAATGCGCAATGAAGTAACTTTCGAAAACATAGCCGTTTGAACACAACACTTTGCTGCTTTGAATTGCACACAATTGCCCCTTAGTCACGAATGCTGTTATTTACAGAAGACTGGTTAAACTGCGATACCTATCTTGAACATACATACATGTTCGGCGGTCGCAATGTAGAGGTACTATTTGGCATAGCACTCCAGAAGATTTTAATTAAGTTCCAACAGGCGAACTTAATTTTATAGATTAAAACTCGCCGGCGAATTTGAAATATAAAAAGGATCTAAAATAGAAATAAACGGGCTCGGGCCGTTCAATACTCCAACGTTTCGAATATCCTTTGTATCGGTTAGAGGGTAACGCATCCTTTTCGGTTGGTGTTACAGTAGGATTAAGTAGAGCGTGAATGCGATTGTTGTTTGCCGATATTCGGGGGGAAGTTCTTGCAAGTGAAGAACTGTACTTCCATTGAGAGCAATGCGCTGTATCTGCCTGCGACAGTAATGGAAATAGCCCTACTAACGTGCCACTTGGGTATATGGTTTGTGATTTTGATATGGTTACGATGATATATCCTAAGAGCTATCTGAAAAGCACTTTTGTTGCAATGAAATGTAGAACTGCATATTACTTTGGTATTTACAACGATGTCAACTACTTCAATTGGATTACTCCTTTCCGTTGGGCGTTGAGGGGCTTTAGTTAGGTACAACCCAGTAATATTTATAGACATTTGTGTACCTATCTTGAATTAAATAAGCCGAGGAAATTCTACATCTTGTAAATGAAACCTCCCGCAGTATAGATAAACTCCATTCAATATATCTTTCGTAGAAAACATCGAGTCAAGATATCGGTACTATTTACGCTGCATGTCAGGACAACTCAATTAGATAATCTTGATCTATCGAATGATAAACTATGCACTTGTGTTTTCGATGCCATAAATAAGTATGCAACTGTCAAAATTATAAATTTAATAATGGCTTACGATACAAGTTCACCAGAGCATATCGCCGACAATCCTAAAAGCATAAGTCGGTATGTACTATTTGCTACGCACACTTATTGTATTAGTCCATTAAATGAGAAAAGCACGCATACTAATTGGTGGACAAAATAAACTAAGAAACAATCCACAAATATGATATTTCACGGAGACGTTTTTTTCGGCATTGAACGCTTTCGTCCTTTGAGCCTAACAGAACAAATTCGGAGCAACTTTAAAACACTGCATGGTTCATTAAATATAATTAAATAAAATAAAATAAAAAGGAGAGCTCGGTATATTTTAAAAATTTGATTAATGTCGAGGAATCTAAAATGTTTTCAAGTTGGTAGCACTTCTCAATATACTGAAAGCTGATGCCAACCAACTTAGTTTAAATGGAACACCCTAAGTGATAACTTCTATCGTATAGGTAAATGGTATGGGAAGATGAGATTTTTAACATTTTTAATTCTTTATGGTCACGGCCGGTTTAACCGCAAATGACTACGGTTTGGAATTTTTAAAAGGGTCACCTATATTTTTACCTTTTTTACAACTAGTTATGGAACCCAGTGTGACATTTTTAAAAGTTTTTACGGCCTACTTTAGTTTTTAGAGCCACTTCTAGTACTGCATACGTGAGAAAATTACCAGTTTTAGTGTCTAGTGTAGTAGATAGGGATAACACACCTCCCAAAATTACATTTTCGTGTCTAACTATCATTTTTCAAATGACAACCTTTTTTGACAAGCACTTTCCGAAAAAAGGATTTTTTAAAGAATCGACTATTTGCAATTGAATTCAGAATCAGAATCATGCATTAAGTAAAAATAAACAAAATGCTATAATTTTTGGCTCATATGGAGAGCAGTATGTAGTCACAATCTATTGTTTGTACTAGGTATTTTTCTGTTGGAATCTGCTAAGCTATTCTGTTGATTAAATAAACAAGTATAAATTGTGCACAACTCTTGTGCAGATAAAGCGCATTTTTTTAAACCGAAATAGCTTTTGTTTTGACATCACCAATAGATATAGCTGATCAAATTTTTGTTTTAATCTGGTTGGGTTTTTTAGTGTAAATTGCATTTCTACTTGTAACCAAGTGGTTTGTTTTGTTTTGTTTCGCTCTAAAGTATTATATCCTGGAAATGTAGGGCAATTTATTACTTATTTTCGTTATCAATTTTGCTTTGTTAAATCAATTCTGTGACAGATCTAGTATAATTTTTGGGCACTTTGATTATTTTTTTTAAAAGGTTGGTGTAATTTATTAGAGATAAGAATGCATTTAATCGGTAAAAATTGATAAATACTGGGATTGGCGTAAGAAAGGGCCTTTCGCCAATTTGAAGGCCGAGTTGTTGTTCGTTGTAAGGCTAGAAGACGCACGTTTCGTTTTGTTCAAGTAAAATTCAGGAAACCAATCGATTTCAAGTTAAAATTTTGAGAAGACTTGCGTAAACGTTTGGGTATAACAGTTTTTTTTTATTGATTTATTGAAGTTGTCTACTGTTGTCCACTATTTCCGAACAACCTTCGTTTCATCTGTCGTGTTTGACCAAGCAGTTTAATTCAAATTGAGTGAAATTACGTTCCTGTAACCTGTTCAGAAGATAAGTTAAAGAAGAACAAGTCCAAAATCTTGCTTTATATAGCATTTAGGTATCACAAAATTAAGTAAATAACGTAAATTAAGAAAACGTTGATATTCAATAAAACAACAGCGCTGGCTCTGTAATTTTCACATAAATAACAGGGGGTTGGCAAATTAACATGTAAAATCCTATGACCAGTCTTTAAAAAAATTCACTGTATAAACTATACAGGGTGACAATTTGAAAACTTACCACCCCCCATATCTTAGTAAATAAACGAGATATTTAAAAAAATCAAAATACGTGTCGGTAATTCGGAGGGGGAATCACAATGACATAGTTGGCGACGCACCCCCTCACACCCCCTGCGCCCTAGCCACCCCAACTTTTAAATCTTAAATAGGGACTCCCCATGTGTGATACGTCATTGGAAAGCTCTGAAAAAATCCTTTCCAACCATACCAAATAGCATTACATTTAGGTTAGTAATTATCGTGCAAATCAAAAAATAAACATGGAAAATCGTATTTAACTTGAACTTCCAAAGCCGACTTGACAGCAACTCATTTTTGATCCCCAGTTATAATCTATTCTCAAACTCTTGTCGAACCTTTTCAAATGTTGGTTTTGCAATATTTTGACATTCTTGAATTATTATCTGTCTTGGTTCGTCTATGTTCGCCGGTTGCGTTTTAAATACGACAGATTTCAAATGTATCATATTAGTTTATTTTTTTATTTGCACGATAATTACTAACCTAAATGTAATACTATTTGGTATGGTTGGAAAGCATTTTTTCAGAGCTTTCGAACGACGTATCACACATGGGGGGTCACTATTTAAGATTTAAAAGTTGGGGTGGCTGGGGCGCAGGGGGTTGGAGGGGGTGCGTCGCCAACTATGTCATTGTGATTCTCCCTCCGAATTACCGAAACGGATTTTGATTTTTTTAAATATCTCGTTTATTTACTAAGATATGAGGGGTGGTAAGTTTTCAAATTGTCACCCTGTATAAGTGAAACTTGTCTTTGCACATTTTTTGATTCTCAAAGATTTCACAAGGTAAGGACCAGTCGTTTCTTCGTTCCAGCACTCATATCAAGATTTTGATAGTGGAATGTTACACACCTGATTTCAATATTAGACTCGTGCTAGTCAGCATGTTTGCATGACAACCTCTTAAAGACTCAAGGCTTTGAAAAGCTCGTAAAGGTCTTTACTTTTTTAAAGATTCGTTTTTAAAGATTCTCGTGAAGGCTCTGGCATCTTCTGGAGACACTTGAAAAACTCGCCAATGCATTAATATGACCCTGGAAGTTTTTGAAGACTCCTCGCGTTGTATAAGGCTCTTGGAGACTTATGAAAACTCTCAGAGACTTAAAGGTCAAAGATCGTAAACATTTCTAGACTCTTAAAGGGACTGAAATGATTTTGGACATTTTTGAAGCCCTTTTGAAGCAGAATATAGGAAAGAATATGGGGTACTAAACGCTTCCAGAACTGTTCAGTGTGAAAATATTCGAAGAAGAGTATAAACAATTGATGCTACAATGAGAAAAAATTACATGTATGTGTAAACCAAATAGAAACCGATGCGCAAAATACTCTTTCACGTTCTCGATAACATTTTTTTGGAGGTCTCTATATTCTGAATTTTGACTATAGTTTACTTTATCACTTAATCCTGTTTCAGTTTCCGCATTCATCTTTTAAAATGTAACATGTATAGGATAACGACGACATCGATCAATTACTATCGAATAATAATGCATAATCCCGAGGGTTCTATTAAGTTTGTGACATCTCGCTGACGTGCTCTGGCATTAATGCCTCCGTAAGTAGTGGTAAAACCGCTCCCTTCATAAATGCGAATGAATTTAGATGTAGCAAACAGAACACTCTAATTGCAACAGACACGGGTCTCGAGCGTATGGAATCAAAACGTAGTAAAACCTAAAAGTAATTTAAATAGCCATTAAAGTTTTATTTTAATTAACTCAAGTTAATAACCATATAATTATTGTCGTTTAAGTTTAATGAAGATTTTATTATGGTAACGTAAAGCAGTATTTATAGGGTCGTTTTGTACGAAACATATTTGAATAATGGTTCGTATAATATTGAGAGTATGCGGTTCAGTTGAGGGTATTGATTTTACCCTGTAACCGGCTGACACCAAGTCACTACTTAGATAAACTGACACATTAACATAGACATCGCTACTTTACCGCCTAACCAAGCAAGAACCCAGGGGTAGAAGCGACGTCTCACAATTCTCATAAAAAGTTATTGGCAGCGTACTATATTTGAATCTCATCCGCAATATATTGAACGTTAACTTCATGGTTAATTCAATTTTTATTTAAAATTCCGAAATTTATTACTTTTGGAAAAATGTAATAACAAATATTGAAAAGATCTACTATCTTTCCAGTCGTCTATACGCGGTAAATAAAATGTACTCAACGCTAACACGAAATCAATACAACTACCTACGTTTGTCGATGACACATTTCTCCTCTTCGAATTCTATACAAATACCGTAATTGGGCAGTAGACCCGTTTCTAGATAAATCCATCTCGAGAGTAAGATGTTCATTTATAAGCGAGACTACTTTCAGCGGGTCAGAGCAAACTAAAAATGACCACCGTTTACTTTCTCGTTGAACGTTTATTTTCCGACGAAATTGTTGGGCTCGCTTTTCACTTCTGCCGAAAAGGGGAGAATTACTGTGACGATCGACAATTTCGTTTGGACCTTTAACCCGACAAAAATAACGTCCGAAGATGTTCTAATTTCGAAATGTGCTTCAAACAATTTAACAACTTATTTAGTACGGCAGGATATTTTTTGTTTCCATTGGGACTTTAAATTGTATAGAACTTTGACACACTGGCAATTTGTGCATGGTATATTCCCATTATCTACATAGGTTATATTAGACCCTGTGTTTTCAAATGTATTCTAAAAGGAAACGTGGAACGCAATATTTCAAAAACTGATCAATTCCTATGAGCAATATCTTTATGGTTGCTTACCGTATTGTCGAGTGTCTTCTTAAACGGTCCGACCTGAAAAACAAGATTAGGTATATTAGAAAATTGCTGATTCGGGTGGTTTCGAGGGTGGATTTTAAAAATAATGAAGTACTTATGCCATTGCTATCATATCTTACTATTAAAAAAATGTAAAATTAATGTTACCACGCTTTTGATGAGTGGGAATACATATAAATTATTGTTAGTTATTCCAGATTGTACAATACGCACTTGAAAAGTGTGCACTCAGACGCTTTTCACTACCTGGAGATTTCGATTCCCGAATAATTTGATAATTTGACACGTAATTCATCACTTATAATTGCACAAGAGGTTTATATTTTACAGAGTAAATTTGGGTTGTTTAGGTAATGAAAATCTGTTGCCTAGCAATTAGACGAGAAAAACTGTCAACTAATAAAAATGCGACACCGAAAAACCACTAGTGCATTTGTCGCTGGAAAAGTTGCAGGTAACTTTTGCCTCTGTCAAGGTGACAATTGCACTGCGGCTTATGCGGTGTTATATACATGAGTTGAATTAACAGTTTAAAATCTATGCCATTCAAAGTACGTCTTGGTTACCATAGCGTTGAAATACGTATAAGTAATACTTTTCCAACTGTAGCACTTATAGAGATGTTTACAAATATGAACGGTATTAATTTTTCTGTGATTCGTCCTTTTATCAACGGCAATCAGGTATTTTCGCGTCGAACGTTTGAGAAACGCTCGTATTTTTCCAATTCGCCTCAATATTTTTAGTGTTATTTTTTGAAGGATTTACTGAAACATGCATGTTGCTGAAAGCATTCCCTACAAATAAACCAAACCAATGAAAACTTCAACGACTTAGTGACGACAGTTGGCACTAAAACGCTTTTATCATTACCTCTTAGAGAAGGATTGAAAAAGAAAATGTTTATTTAAATTCCTAACCCGTAATTTTAGGGTGGAGAATATAAGCCTGAATGAATACTTACAGTGAGGAAATATAATTAGCCTTCATACGGCCCTTCGTACTCCGAAAGTTATTCTAGATAAGAACTTCGCTAATTATATTTAAACAACAATAGCTACATACATTTATTATAAAACAAAATTCCTCTGGGGAATTTATGTACATCATTAACAAGGACTGGTTTGGTTAGACTTTTAATAAGTACAGAATTATTCGAAAAAGAGACAAATGATATCCAGAATATATATCATTATATAAATTTCAAAGGAATAAATACTGAGCATTCGTAAGTCCCTCTTTGTAAGTTAATTGATTTTGGTTACGGCTATAAATATGTACATCGACAAAAAGCTTTTCAAAGATCTTTTGAAGCTTTAAAAAAAAGCAAAATTAAATCAAACGTCAGTATTCCCGACATTCCTAAGAATTATTCGGCAAAGGAAATTATGTGTAAAATATTTTCCCTATTAAAAAGGAGATGAAGATTCTGTTGTACTTTGCGAGATAATGCGCAGGCACGTGGAATGCAGCCTCTAAATACCTTCATTTAAAATTGTTTGCCGAGAGAAGCTACCAAAGGAGCGAATCTGCTAACCATTAATTTTCGAATGATTTACTTCATCTTAATTTTTTAATGTTCGCACCAACTTATCCGCATTTACCATGAGTACTATTGTTGCAGGGACAGAACAGATTGTCATTCATAATTACGTAATTGTTTTTCCATTTTTGTGCTAAAAACACTTATAGGGTGCTAGTTTCGCAGTTGTAACTTGTATGTAACCAAAAGATGGGCGAGCAACTTTGAGATGCGACCGTTCCCGAAAGATAGCCAAATGCACATGTAATTACGACTGCAGATAAACATATAAACGAGGAGGCCGATTGTCTCGCTAAGGCCGACACTAAACATCCCCAAATTGGACCGCAACCCTACTGTAGAGTACCAGCAAGTCATACATCTGGTGACTCGCAGTGCTTCTTCAGATATCATCTCAACGAAGCGGGGTAGATGAGGATAACATATGTCGCATGTGCATTGAAGAGGAAGAGACAGAGGAACACATCATTTGCTGGTGTGAGGTTTACGGAGAGAGATTACAAGACGGGGGTGAGGCTGCAATTGGATGTATTACCTAGTATGTAACGTTATTTTCTTACTGTTGGATATTCCGGATTGAAATCCCGCTTAAGTAACTATTTGAATTGTGCTCTTATTTATATTCTTACGCCATCTAGGTGTTTCGTTTGTAATCGACTAGTTTTAGATGTAAGTTAATTCCTGTAGTAAATTTGTTATTATCTTAGAATAGTTTGTTGGACTTAGTTCTTTGTTTCGCCGATCCAGAACGTACATACGTTTTCCGTGGTATTTTTGGTTATCCGTTCGTTAAGTTAATTTTGCTCGCGCATTTGTATTTCTTTCCCCGCATTAAAGTTTCTGATTTCGCATTGATTACATGTAAATGTCTCTTACCTTCACTCAACCCTCTACATTTTCTCATAGATTTTTTTTATTGATTTAATATGAAGATATTGTTTTCCAAAAAAGCAGATATAAAGTTACAACAACAGCACTAATAAAACACAAATAATGATATATTAAAATATCGAACGCGTTACAACAGCAGAGCAGAGAAAAACATCTGTTGAAACGCGTTCTATATCTTAATATTTTATTATTTTTTGTAACTTCAACGGCCACTGCAGTTCCAGTGCTTCAAGTTTGATTGCACAGTCACAACACGTTACATCAATACACGAAAATGGAATTTGATGTATTTTCAATTACTACACGCATTTTAACAAAAGGATATCACAATCCCTATAATTCAAGTTAACTGGCGAAACGAAAAGAGTCAATTCCCCAGTCTTTGTAAATTTTCAAACGTTCATAAATAAGCAAAATCGTAAAGAGGTGACAGTTTCTCTTTATCATTACTGCATTTGTTACATTGGTTTAACGCTCTTCAATTTTTAGGTTCTTAATTAATGAGACGCGTGAGTCGTTTGTGCATGTATCCGATATTTCCGAATGCCAGTCTCGAGTGTATAAAAAAACGGATTATCTAAAAACGTCAAGGATATAACGGAAAAGGGTTTTAATACATTGAATTATTTAACTAATTAATTATTCAAAATCTTTCCAATGCTCTGGTGAGGTTATGTGTGATTTTCCGAAACCGAATAATCCCCTTTTCAACGGGATTTTTTCATTTTATATTAAGGTTAATACATCTCTTTGTAAAACATTATTTTATTTAACAGCCATAAGCCATAATTAGTTAAACGATACGAAACATAACCTTTATTTATTTTATTTCATATTGGAATACGGATTTCACTTAAAATATCCTCCAAGCATTGTCAGAGAAGATAAAATCAAACCGTGTTTTATTTTTATCTTTGTTGAGTCTATGCACCATTTAATACGTGCTGAATATACCTTTATTTCAATTATCACCGCCATTTTCCTGATAGTTCCTCGCTCATTTATAGGCAACGAATGAAGAAGGATCGTCCCGGAAGATTCGCCCTCAAAAATTTCGCGAAGGGATAATCACCCCTCGGTCTCTCGCCAGGAACTAGTTCAAATTCGGCGGATTCACCTGAAGCCGACACTTCTTTCCAATTTCTCCTTTTTCATTTTCTTGGAGCCAAACAAATCCAGCAAGCCGGCAAGTTTCCAAATGCATTTTTCCTGAAAGAAAAAGCCATACGCGATCAGTTTTTGGACAGGTGAGCTTACGTTTGACTATTCTTAGGTGATTTTGCACCCTCGTTCAGGGGCGTACTATATTGCAGTACGAATTTTGGAAATATTTTGCTAAACTGGGAAACGACATATTGAGAAATCTAGATAAAGTGGGATTAAGTCCCAAATGATCGATTTTAGGCCACAGGTCTATTCGAAAAAAAATTATTGTTTTGTACCCACTATCTCCCAGTTCTTTTACACATTTAAATATTTGTATGTACACTTTACGCGTACCAAGTAGCATTTCGACATTGCCTGATATTGACTGGAAGCAACTGTATTGTGTATTTCTACTTTATGTTATTGTATAATGTATAGCACTTTATTTATTAGTGAATAGAGTTCCAGTTCCAGGGGAGGCCTACTCCTACCATCTCATTCTACTATATGCTAAAGTCATAACCGAGAATCCCATTTTATGAAATTTTCTAAAAAATTATGTATACATACACTCTTTTCTTTGGGAACAATCTTGATAGAGCGAGAAGTAAATATTACAGCAACGGATTCAGCTTCGACCTAACTAAACTAAACAACCCTTTTGGTTGACTCTGTGATCTTGACCCATTTTCAATTCAACAAAACAACGAATATATGGATTACAATAAATGTTCCAATTAAAGGGGCAAGGTCTTACTTCACGAGCTAGTTACACATCACTCAAATGCTGAAAGTTCATACTCCATATCCATATTTAAGTACCCTTACGTTTTCTCTCCTCCGCTGTGCGTTGAGTATCATCATTGAAATTTTAAACGACGGGTGCTTGACAACATTTCTTGCGAGAGTGACAACGGATACATTGAGGGAAGCTAAATGAAAGTAGATAAATCAAAGACAAATGCTAATTTAGGTTAGGAAGTAATTTATAAGTTTATGCATGTAAATAATCCAACGTGTCGTATACTTGCTATATATTATAGGATACGAGTTTCTGCTAGTTGTAGCTTTACCAAAACTTGAGTTTCTGTGTGTACTTACACGCCAAGCTCTAAGGCTGCGACCATAAATCTGCCACTCTAGGTCTCGTATAAGTTTTAGCTTTTGACTGCTTCCCGCAATCGCGATCGAGCTTTGTGCGATTCGTCTTTAGAAGTTGTCCTACCCCGAGCTTGCCTTCGCACCACAAACAACTCGTGTTTTTTAGGTGCAAAGTTATACAGACTAGACTAGGAATGGGGTAAACTAAAACGCTTTGTTTGATTCCCACCAGCACCTGTAGAGTCTATTGTAAATTCACCGTTTTCCACAAATATTGCATTTTCCCCTAGTCTAGTCGTGTATACCTAATCGCGGTAATAATATGAGGCATTTTCG